CCTTAGTTAAACTCTTGTCGCTGGGGCTGGGTGGCAGGTGGCTCGCACACGGAGAGCTGCTCTCTGCCGTGCCACTGGGGCAGTCACGTGTCAGGCGCTTGGTGCACTCTGTGCTCCCGTATATCGGGACTTGCCGACAGCAGGGGACAGCAGCCCAAGGGGTGACCAGTCATCATCATACCACGGTCCCGTGCAGGACAGTCAGCGCGCAGTAGCTTTGCTTCCTCCTACTCGTAGGCTCAGAAGGCTCCCTTACTGACGAGTGGGTCCTTTCCGGGGCTGCGCATGTCGCTGGCCATCTGTGGCCAGCGTGCTCTGCCGTTGCTCGTACTTGGTTAGTCACTACCAGTGAACGGCGGGGATGAGAAAAGAGGGGCCCTCACAATTCAGTGTTAAGTAAACCAAAAATGAGAAAGCAAAAGCCACCCTGTTCGTGACGGGATCTGTGCTTTGTCCATTAAGAGGCCACGACGCCAGTCAGATCACGCTGGCCTTAGGCACAGCCGCCTCCTACCCCCGGGCCTGCCAAGCCCTGGGCGCCATGCTGTCCAAGGGAGCCCTGAACCCCGCTGACATCACCGTGCTGTTCAAGATGTTCACCAGCATGGACCCCCCTCCCGTGGAGCTCGTGAGTTGCTTCCCATGTTGCTAATAGGTGGAGGGGCCCCTGGTGCCGACTGCGGGGTTACTGGCCCCCACGTGCATGCATTCCCTGCCGTGCTGTCCGGTCGTTCTCCTGGCTCCCTGACGCCGACCGCCGTGGTCGGACTGTCTCCCCTCAGATCCGCGTGCCGGCCTTCCTGGACCTGTTCATGCAGTCGCTGTTCAAGCCTGGGGCCCGGATCAACCAAGACCATAAGCACAAGTACACGCACATCTTGGCCTACGCTGCGAGCGTGGTGGAGACCTGGAAGAAGGTACTGCCGGGCTGCGGCCCGCGGGCTCTCAGCACGCGTGTCCTCCTCTGCCTCGGCGTTACTGCTCGAGGCTTCACGCCGCCGCGGGCTGAGCTGACGGGGTGGAGCCTCTTGTGTCTGCACATCGGGGAGCGGAAAGGGACAGTGCGTGGCGCCTGGGTGGTCTGTGGACCATAACCGGAGTGCGACTGGAGGAACGAGCTGGCTTCCCTGAGCAATGGCAGACCTCTCGCCGGTTTTCAGTGTCTGAACAGTGTCCATGAACTGTGTGATGGTCGAGCCTGACAGTTAAATTGGCTCCTGGCCTCAGAGACAGGGCAGGCACTTTGCAGAGAGAAGCGGCTGGTCCCGGGGTGCCCAGCAGCGAGGCCGCAAGCTGTCAGGACTCACTGACGTGTGTGTTTGCAGAACAAGCGGGTGAGCATCAACAAAGACGAGCTGAAGTCGACCTCGAAGGCGGTGGAGACCGTGCACAGCCTGTGCTGCAACGAGAACAAGGGGGCCTCGGAGCTGGTGGCGGAGCTGAGCACCCTCTACCAGTGTATCCGGTGAGCCGCCCCTGCGCCTGGGCCGGTGGCAGCTCCCGTAAACGCCAGAGAGCGCTAGTCTTCACAGCATGAGTAATTTCCGGGTGTTTACTTGCCAGAAGCCTGTCCAGTGAATCCTTGAAAATTAAGTTTTTTTAAAGAATCAATTTTTTATTTAATTTTATTTATTGTCATTATTTATTTTATTTTATTTTTTGCTATAGGGCACGTGTGCCCACCAGACAGAGAGAGACAGAGAGACAGAAAGCGAGAAATCACCCCCTGGGGGGATGGCCACGCCACAATCCCTTCTCCTCCATTCTCCTCTTGGGATCTTGGGCACACATGCATACGCACCCGGCATGCGTTTTAAGCCACCGGGTCCGGGACGCGAACCACAGTCGACTACGTGGGAGTCCAGTGACATAGCCATTACGCTAACTGCTGGTCCTTTATTTATTTTTTTTTTGAAGTTGACCAGAGAGAGAAAAGGAAAGTGAGCTGTTAAATCCGGGACTTGAACAGCAGTCAGCCATGCGGGAATCCTGCTGCCTTAACAACCATGCCACCTGCTGGCCCCGATTCTTGTAACTTAGATGAAGTAAAGGGAAAACCAGGTAGAATTACAGATCTGATGGGAAGAGCAGTGACGTTAGACACAGCACGGTCGCCGAGACGGCCAGTTACAGGGACAGAGGTGTCCCAGCAGTGAGTGTGCACAGGCGCTGGGACTCCGTGTCACTGCTCAGGGATGGAGAGAGGGTCTGCTAAGTTATGGCGCACTCAGCCGAGCCCACCGACTCCTGGCACTGGTCACCGTGACCTTCCGAACTGGAAGTGGGGTACAACGAGCTGAGAATTGAAGCCCACTGCTCGCCTGTGGTCTGAGAGCGGTGGGTCCGTTCTTGCCGAAGGGCGGACTGCCGGGCAGCCTGAACCTTTCCGGCGTGCTGAGGCTGTCACAGGCTGTCGTGTCAAGGACACTCCTGCCTCGTTCGCTTGCAGGTTTCCTGTGGTGGCGATGGGAGTGCTGAAATGGGTGGACTGGACCGTGTCAGAGCCCAGGTACTTCCAGCTGCAGACTGACCACACCCCGGTGCACCTGGCACTGCTGGACGAGGTGAGAGGCCGGAGGGCCCTGGATGGCGCCAGGGTCTGCGTCCCGGGCACTTTCTGACCTCTAGTCAGTGGCTCCTGAAGATGCTTCTTTCAAACTTTCCGTCTCAGATGAGGATTTCCCTCTTAGAGGTCTAGTCCCGGTGACTGCACGGATCTGTTTTTATGAAGTGTGACTAGAAGGGTAAGGAATGGCATGGAAGCCGGACCTGGGTCGAGCATTCAGGACCGTCACCATCTGTGACGGACCGTGTTTGGTGGCGTGACTGTGCCGGCGGGTCTCTGTGCCGCGAGTGAGCCCAGAGACCCGGCCCCTGCTCAGCGAGGCTGCCTCTGGGCTGTTTGCAGATCAGCACCTGCCACCAGCTCCTGCACCCCCAGGTCCTGCAGCTGCTTGTCAAGCTTTTTGAGACCGAGCACTCCCAGCTGGACGTGATGGAGCAGGTGAGTGGGCGCCCCCAGACATGGGGCGGGGGCCAGGCTCCGCCCTGACAGGCTCGTGTGGCCTCACTGTCCCGTAGCTCGAGCTGAAGAAGACCCTGCTGGACAGGATGGTTCACCTGCTGAGTCGAGGTTACGTACTTCCTGTTGTCAGTTACATCCGGAAGTGTCTGGAGAAGCTGGACACTGACATTTCACTCATTCGCTATTTTGTCACTGAGGTCAGCAGCGTCCCGTCGGCTCACGTGCGTTCCGCACTCACTCGCCCCGCCCCCCGCCCCACGTGGTTTGGCTCGTTCTGTACCTAGCTCCAAGGAGTGTGCTTTCGTATAATCTTACGGTGACAATGACATTGCCAGTTCGGGCACCTCCTCCCGCAGGTGCTGGGTTCTGTTTCAGCACCTCACCGCCCTGGCTGTCTGAATGTGGGCACCTGGTGTTGGGGCAGGGTGAGGGGCAGAGCCTCGTCACCGCATGTGGGCATGGTGCTCCCAGCCGTCGCATTGACCCGGTCCTCCCCACGCAGGTACTGGATGTCATCGCTCCTCCTTACACCTCGGACTTCGTGCAGCTCTTCCTGCCCATCCTGGAAAATGACAGCATTGCAGGCACCATCAAGACAGAGGGCGAGCACGACCCGGTGACGGAGTTCGTAGGTGAGCCTTGCGCCCTCGCTGTGGGAGCAGGCACCCGCGGGCCCTCCTCTAACCCAGCGGGATGCGTCTCTTCCAGCTCACTGCAAGTCTAACTTCATCATGGTGAACTGATTCCGCGTCCTGCAGCCGAGGCAGAGCAGCCTGGTCGCTGGTGGCGGGTGACTGCCCCGGCGCCGATATGAGTGCGGCTCGGCCGACGTGTCGACATGTGGGAAGTGGACTCTGCAGGAGGAGCTGGCAGGTGGCCGCCCTGAGCCGCCCACCCGCTCTGGGTGGTAAACGCAGTGCTGCCCTAAAGCATCCTTGGTCCCAGGACAGGAGCCGGTCCCCGCACTCCACTGCCCCCCTGGCAGCCCCTGGTGGGGGAACAGGCTGAGACACTTCTCTAACGGCTTCCAAGTCCACTTAAGCTTTCTCACAAGAACCAAGTTAGTTGAAGTTGTATGTAATTAGTTTAATTTGCTAACAAAAATAAATGTTTTTAAAGAGCCTTTCTGCTGGGTGGGTTGGAGGGTTTAGGTGCGGGCCCCGCGTCAAGATCGGGTGTAAGGAAGGCAGGCTGAGGCTTAGTCCTCGTGCGAAGCTGTGTTTATTCACCACTCAGCAATCCGACCCCCCCAGGTGACATAAGGACCTGGACTCTGGCCTCCTGAATGCCGTCTCGTGGATGACGGTTGCCAGTGTACAGTGCCGACCCTCAACAGAGGAAAGTCACCAGGGCAGGTGGAGCTGCCCTGGGCAGGTGTCGCTGCGGGAAGCCCTGCAGCCAGAGCCACGCAGTTCTCATGCCATGAGGCGCCCGACTCGTGTTCGGCGCCGGTCTTCACCCAGCCCCACCCCGCCC